CGGTTTTGAGCGATTGCTGGCATATGTAGTCATGGCGGATGTACGATCTGACGCGTTAATCGCGAACGAATCTGTTTGATGAGATATTCGTGTAAGGTCATCGCAGTTTCTGCAACTTGCATAGTTCGAACTTTTCAATGTCGGTATATTCGCTACTCATACACGCGCGGGGGAAATTCGTCGAAATTCAGATCGTGATCTCGTTGCTGCGAACGCTTGGACGAACGTCCAGCGTCGTAGGTGATGGACGATGAGGTCTTCGCGACGGCTCCCGATGGCGCACAACCGCGCGCCCAGCGCGGGTGCTTACGAGTAGACACGAGAATCGTGTAAAATTTTGCGCGTCTATCTCTCGCTCGCAGGAGAATCCCGAAGAAAATCGCGTCAACGAGAACGCGAAGCCGGTCACGGTGGATTTGCGAGAAACGGAACGTGGTATGCGGTGCGATGAAGAGAGACACCGCTCTCTCGAAACGTGTGAAGACAGAAACGTTCGAGGAGGAAGAGCGGTCGGGAGAACAAGTATGACCCGTCCAGCCGTCGGTGTAACCGCTGCACAATATCGCGCGTGTCGGTGACATTGTTAATAAATCGACGCGTGCACATTCGCGATATTGCCGCGAAACTCGAAATCAATGTTGGCAATGTGCAGTCGATTATCCGCCAACACACAGCCCGAACTTTGCAGAGTTAGCGCAAGATGGTTACGCGGCGCCTCCTAACGGCAACTCACAAAGAAGCGCGATCCTGGAAAGGTCTCTCTCTCTCTCTCTCTCTCTCTCTCTCTTTCTCTCTCTACAACGTTTCGAAATGACCGTGACTTTGTAGCGAGCTCATAGCTGTTGTGAGCTCATATTTGGCGTATGACGAATCGTGGTCTCGTTGCTCCAAAGTTGAGTGAAAACGAAGACAAAGTGACGGTGGTAATTCGTGAATTTTCCGAAAGAATGCCTCGACCTGCAACACACTCCCCGACGTTCCTGAAAAACTTTTCACATCTGATACTTTTAAGTCGCCCATAAAGACTGAGAACGTTTTATATTAAGTTACAAAGAGACCGTGTAGACAAATAGGCCAAGTTTTCGTAATTTTTTTTTTAGTTATGTAATTTGAGAAAGAAATTGCGGTCGGGAAGCCTCGTCTACTTGTATTTACTTTCTCATTTAGAGGAGAGTCCTTTTTTATAGTTTTCTGCAGTTTAGGGACGCTCCATTTAATTTGTCGTAAGCAATAATTTCGAACGAATCTCGGCTTTCACTTGGGTGTATAGTAGTAACAGGTTTCGAAAGTTCAATTTTTACAATAAAGCAGTCAGAGAATACGAACTTCTTTTTAAAACGAGCTCAGGTACCTGAACAACTTCCTCAATCATCAGTAGTCATACTAGAAAAAAAAAAAGAAAAAGAAAAAAGAAGCCGAACGTTGCAATGCAGCAGTCATCAGAATCACACGAGACACAACGAGACAACACACGATCATCGAATACATATGTAGATCCGGAATTAGAATGTTAATCGACGAACGTCACGTGCAAGGCGACCGCTGGAGAAAGATTCTCGGCTCTCTCGTACGGCGTGTCGAACTTTTCGCCACCGTTGATACCCCCGAAGAACCGCGCGGCGATTTCGCGGATACGGAGAAGGTTAGGCCGCGCTCGCGCGCGCGGCACGGTGAAAGGGGGGCTCGGGAGGCAGGAGGGCGACGGGTTAGGGCAACAAGAAGCGGCGCGTCTCGCATCGGAACAAGCGGCTCTCCCCAAAGTAGAAAGCAAGGAAAGGGGTAGTTCGCGGTCCGCGAGCGTTGGTTGGAGCGGCACGGGACAAGCGTCGGGGGTGGCGAAGACGAGAGCGAGAGAGAGAGAGAGAGGGCGAGCGCGAGTTGTGCGCGCTGGGTTGCGACGGGCGGAGGGGCGCGCGGGGCAAAGTGACGGAGGAGAAACCGAAGGGAGAGTGGGGCAATGTAGGAGGGTGGTTCGTGCACGAGGGAGCGAGGGAAAGAGCGAGAGAGAGAGAGAGAGCGAGAGAGAGAGAGAGAGAGAGAAAGAGACAGAGAGAGAGAGAAAGAGGGAGAAACACAGAGAGAAAGAGAGAGAGAGAGAGAGAAAGGGAGAAAGAGAGAGTGAGAACCAATGAGAAAGAGAGAGGGTGAAGGCGCATGAGGGACAGAGAGAGAGAGAGAGAGAGAGAGAGGAGGGAGAAAGAGCGAAAGGGAGAGAGGGGGGAAGACGACGGGTTAACCGGCGAGCGAGTGAGCGCCTTGCGGAGAAAGAGGCACACACATCGACTGCTCGAGGACGGGGGGCGAGGGTGAGGTTTAAGGAGCGAGAGGGGCGGGGATCTTAGGAGGGGCGCCTAACGTCACGGCGCATTCACTCACCGGCCGTCGCCGACGCCGCTCTGTATGCTGCACACGCAGCCCGCACGATACGGTCAGTTCTCTCTCGGCTACCCCCTCGCGTGCCGCGCACCCACACGCGCGGGCGCGCGCGCGTGTTCCTCCGGGCCGTTTCTCTTCTCTGTGTGTCGTGTCACCCCCGCGTGAGTCCGTCGCCGTGAAAACGCGCGCGCGCGCGCGCGCGCGCGCGAGCCCCGTGTCCGGCCGGCCGGCCGCGCGCGCGTCCGCTCGCCTGAACGGTGTTGGCTTTTCCGCCGGCGCGCGGCGAGCCTTCGTACAGAGCGACTTCGGGAAAGCCGAAAGCCAGTGTTTACCCGCGCGCGGTGTTTACCGGAGGTACACGCGGCGACTGCAGCAGCGCGGGAATTCGCCCACGAGTGTTCGCGCGACGCGTCTCCTGCCAGTTTTGGTGCGGTGTCTCGAAACGTGTCCTCGTACATATATGTGTATATATATATATATATATATAAATATACACACACACGCACGTACGCATGCACACACATAAACACGCTCACGTACACACGCTCGCGGGTGCCCCTGCGAAGAGTGCGATTTTTTTCGGCCTGCGTTTCCGAAAAAAAACCAACCGCCCCGGCGGCCCCTCGCAACCCGTGCGCTTTTGTGAACCGCATTGTCGTCTCGTCGAGTTGTACGGTGGGTGATAGTGAGGAATCAGCTGATCGTTTAAAGAGACCACGCTCCCTCTGTCTGTCTTCGTTCATCTTGCCGTCCCTCGTTTCTCTTTCTCTTTTTCCCTGTCTGCCTCGTCGCGGTGAGATGTTTTTTGCGGAGGTCGGATCTAACGATCTTTCACGGAGCTCTCTCACCGTCGATACCGGTGATACAACTTTATTTCATTATCGCACATTATCGCGTGGCTGATTGTTCTTGCGCGTAATTGCGATTGGAAAGTGCGTGCGTGCGTGCCGGTACGTGCGAGAGTGCAACTTTCCTCCACCATCTTCCGTCCGGTTTTTATTCCACCTTTCCGGGACGCACTCCTATAACTCCGGCTCGCACTCACACACTCGCACAATGGCGCGGCCCCACGTGGTACAGCTTCTGTGATACGGCAGAGTCTTCCCGCGCGAAATAGCTGCGTTGTCGAGCGGCGCCTTGGTGCCGTGGTCCTTTGACACCAAAGTCCGCGGGATATCAGTGTGACGTGTGACGCCCATGATGCGAGTGCATCGGAAGAATCGCGCGAGCCTGCTGTGGGTCACGGTTGTGTGATTTGGTTGCTCTTCTCTTTTGTTTCCGCATTCTGTTGGCGCTCGATTCGGAACTTGCATCAGCCTCGAGAAAAAGTTGCTCTCAGTGGCGGCAAAATCTGCGGATACGCGCGCAGACTCCTCAACGGCTCACGACGCGCCTCGATGAGTCAGTCTCACTGCTATCAATGACGTGTCCGAAAAGGGTAAGAGTATTCCAAGACCTCCCCGGTCCCGGATGAAAAGATTGTAATTTCGCGGGACGAGTCCCGCGTTAACGAAGTGGATTTGTGTCTCGCACAACGACGAATCGAGTTAGCCAGATAGATCCAATCGCGCGGAGCTCGATCGCGGAGATCCGCTCGAGCGAGACCGGTGCTTCAACCTTCAACCGGCAACATCCATTGTTCGGGTCCGCGCGATCATCGCGCATCCAGGCCTCGTTGCACGTTCTGTATTTATCATTGCGATCGTTGCGGTCGAGATTTTAAGTCGACGTCGTCCACGAAGGCGCACCTGCCTTGTGCGTGCTGGTCGCGACGCGACGCTTTTAGCGACGTAGCAGCCGTAGCTGGCGAGTAGCGCGCGAAGACTCGCCCTTGGTCGAAGGGTGGTAACGTGACGCGACGATTAATAATTCTCACCGGCGCTCTCTCTCTCTCTCTCTCTCTCTCTCTCGCTGGCCCGACCGAGTCACCAGCTGAAGGTGAGCTCGAGAGCACGTGGAGAGCCGCGATCTCATCAATCGGCTAACCGGATTGTCACGTATCTTCGTTAACGTCGGGCTTCCGAGTGCCACCGATCGCCGCGGTGGTGGTAGTGACGGTAATCGCAGCGGTGCACTTGTAGTAGTAGCAGCAGTAGCAATCGTTATTTCCGAGATACCGCGAGAACCGACACTAATCCCAACTCTCTTCCGTACACTAGTCGTCTAGCTCGACGAAGTTAAGGATGCCACGCACCGCGCCGGCTAATAGTTCGCGCGCGCAACATGCAGTGACCTCTTCGGGGCACGGACGCGGAGATAAAAAAAGGAAAGGTGCAAGGAGTGTAAAAAACAACGTTGCGAGAGGGAAAGAGAGAGAGAGAGAGAGAGAGAGAGGAAGAGAAAAAGAGAGAACACTAGTCGACGTAAATCCGCGCTTTTTCCGAACACGTGCGAGTTTGACAACAAACTTGCAGGGGAGTTTTCGACGGCGCACAGTGACGTATCCCGGTCCGACGGTTCCCCTGAACGCGCTTCGCGACTCCGACCATGGCGAGAGACAGAGAGAGAGAGAGAGAGAGAGAGAGAGAGAGAGAGAGAGAGAGAGAGAGAAGGAGAGAGAAGAGAGAAGAGAGAGAAAAGAGAGAGAGAGAGAGAGAGAGAGAGGAAAAGTTTTTTTTCCGTCTGTCGCGACTCTCGTCAAAGCAAACGGCGCGACGCGATCGTACGCATTTTAACGCCGCTTTTGCGTATCGCGCGGAGTAAAAGGTCGCGCGCGCTCGAGGGAAAAGGCAGAACGATGGCGTGTCGCAAAGCGAGTTCTCGATTATTTGATTTTGCCGCGGCGAGACATCGGAGCTCGATCGTTCTCGTTGGTTCGCTCGCTCGCTCGTAAGCACGCAAGCTCGCGCACCTCGTTGTTGTTTGTTGTTTGTAGTTCATTGTGTGCCTACCTCAATCTCTCCTACCAGAGGGAGAGAGAGAGAGAGAGAGAGAGAGAGAAAGAGAGGGGGGGGGAGAGAGATTGTTTACGATCGTAAGAGACTTGTCAGCTGGCAATTAATTAGCCCGTGTCAATGGTGCCGCTTTTACGGACCGCTTATTTAGCGCCGCCGACGCCGATTTCGCGCGATGGCGAGTTTTCGACGGTCGCCGGCGCGTCGCGCCGCGTCGAGAATCCACTGTCCCTGTTCGCTTCGATTTCATTTTCCGAAATGCTACAAAGTCGCGTGGGATGTTGCCCGGGATATTCGTTTCACATGGAGACTACTCGAAGCGCAATTTGAGAGAACTCTCCCGTTTCACACGCGAAGCATTTTTGACCCTCCTCCCTACCGCCCTTTTATCCTCCCTATCTCCTCTCTCTCTCTCTCTCTCTCTCTCTCTCTCTCTCTCTCTCTCTTCTTCCACCCGTCTCTCACTCTCTTTCTATCTCCCTCATGAAACAAATTCGTTATTTTTATCGTTATTGCATTGTTGTTAATGTAATTGCGTCCGGAGTGATTTATCGAGCGCGCACTACGGGCGATTCTTTTACAGGATGCAATTCACAATCAAAGCCATCGCACGTGTGCGAGTGACGTGATGTTGAAGAGCAGCAGCAGCAGCAGCAGCAGCAGCAGCAGCGGCAGCGGCAGTAGTGCGCTCGTTCCAGGTCACATCGCTCGCGCTTACACACACACACATGTTTATCACCTTTTGCATTAATTATGTTTTAATTATAAAATAAACGTACAAACGCGCGTACTGCCGGGGCAGGGAGCGCGCGCCATCTCACTCGAGATGCGCCGTATCACTCTCGCACGTCGATTGATACGGTTTACGTCGCGCGCAATACACAGAAATTCGAGGGTCATCCGCGTGTGCATCGCGAATAAAAGGAATAAAGCGAGAACCTTGTTCCCGGTGAGTGTAATGCGCTACGCCGACGAGGTTTATGTATCGTTGTAATTTAACGGATGATCGATAGAGACGAAGCTCTCTCTCTCTCTCTCTCTCTCTCTCTCTCTCTCTCGCTCTCTCTCTCTCTCTCTCTCTCTCTCTCTCTCCGTTGCTCTCCGAGATGATATGTTAGCAGTCAGCGATATAAAGTAACGCGGGATACACCGGATTAATATCCCGGAGTGTTCGAGAAAGTCACGGTTCACTCGTAGCCGCTCGAATCCTTCGAGTTGAGCGGAAATCCCGATGCGATTGATGGATCAGTCGAATGGCGGATTTTCGGGCGTCATATCGTCGTGCGGCGATTTGATTTCTCCTCGAGTTGAGGCATCGAGAGATACTATACACGGATTGTGTCTCGAGTATGATCCTCTTGTTCTTCCTTCTCCCTCTCTCTCTCTCTCTCTCTCTCTCTCTCTCTCTCTCTCTCTCTCTTTCGCTCTCGCGACGCTGGATACCTACGGCGACGGATGCCGCGGAAAACGCGCAAATTGGTCGTGAGCCGCGCCTCTCTTCTTCTTGCCAGCTTCTGATTGCCCCTCTTCTTCGGTGCGCTGCGAAATTATTTATAGGCAAACACACACACACACACACACACACACATACATACACATACACATCCTCGATAGTCGATGAAACGAGTGCCGACGTCGTTGAAATGTTCGGAGTTGAGTCGCACGAGGTGCGACTTCAATAATTATCGCGAGTTCGGCTGGATGCTGAATAATTAACGGCCGCATGTCATCTCCTGCGAGCGGCTCGTATTCGCTGCGGTCTTGTGTGCTTTCTTGCGCGCGAGGCGACGGGAATTCTCCGCGCGGATCGTCCGTCCGGAAGACGCGCGGAACCTCATACGGTCCCGCGGAAAATTCTCAATCGGAATTCTTCCCGCTTCGTTGTATTTCTAAATATCACGAGATTCGTTTTATTTAACTTCTAATCCTGCGAGAGAAAAGGCTCTTCCCCGTTGGTGCGATAATTTCGCGCTTCACCTGTAGAAAGGCGTGACCGCGCGTTTGTTTTCGGAAAAGTAAATCACTCGCTAGAGGCATCAAGCCGCACGAACGATAAAGAATCTGCAAGGATTCTCGAGTTTCGAGTTCCTCGGAGAGAGGAGGAGCTGCCGGCACGAGCCGATGATGGAAAGTGCCGCGGCAACTTGCGACGATCGCTCAAAACATTAGACTTCAAATGTGTTCGCTCATCCTATTGGCGCGATATTGCGCGAAAGCAGCCCGATATATATTGAGATATAGAGGACGCACGTCTGTGTAGATCCAGTGACCTCTGTAATATACTGGAGTTCACCTTCGAGGAGACAGAAATGATGGCATAAAAGTTGTTGATGAAACTATTTTCTTTCGATACATAAATCGGACGTTCGAGCGAGCCAAAGTGAAAAAATGTATCTAGGAGGAGTAAATGAATCAGGCTGTACATAAGGATATATAAAGTAAATGAATGAAGTATGCAGTGAGAGATTACAAATAATATACACACTTGTTTATATCATTATATATTGTTGTATAATAAATAATGTTGTGTTATCTATTACAATATTTACATCGCTCGATTTACATCGCGCTTTGAATTTCGGCGTACATATCAATATAAAAACGTAGTAGTTTGACATATCAATAATAGCGAATGGAAAAGAGAACAAAAGTATAACATACGTATAAATACAAAATTAATGTCTCATACTACAATAATGCTGGCGCAAAATTTGACAACTAATTAATTCCCGACGCTGAATACTCCGCTACAGTCTTGTTATAGACTCTCTCGGAGACACTCTAGTATGCTACAGAGCTCACAGTGCGGGGATTTCTTCGGGCTCTCTCGAGGGCTTTCGAGAAAGAAAGTTGAGGAGCGCCATTTTGCGACCGCTGGATCTCACCATTCAGTCGTGGGCGATTTTCGACCTTACCAGACCGTCTGGCATTTCCTGGGTTTCAGGAGAACGGCAGGGCGCAAGGTTAGCGAGGCAACGGCAGAGGCAGAAGTTGAGAAAGGGAGAACCACCTTCGCGATACGTGCGTGGCCGTGTGCGTGCGTGCATGGAAGAGGAAGGACCACGCAGGACCACGAGGACGCGGCACGAGAGAGCACGGGGCGGAGCAAGGTGGCGGCTCCGCTAACGACGCCAGCGGCGGAAGAAAAATGTCGCATTATTCTCTACGCTGGAACAATCATCAGAACCATATACTACAGGCCTTCGAGGCGCTGCTGCAATCGGAGGTGCTCGTCGACGTGACCCTGGTGTGTGCCGAGAGCAGCCTCAGGGCGCACAAGGTCGTCCTCAGTGCCTGCAGGTAAATCACGCATGTCTCCCGTTCGGTCGCGATTCCACCAGCCAGGTCGCCGAATCGGATCGCCCGCTTTCGATTCGCTTCGCACGTCGCCGAGCCGCCCGCATTAGCGAGTTTCTGCACGCTGGAAGTCTCTGAAGGGCCGACTGTGTCGCGGACCGGCTATTGAGACTTTTACCGATGGTAACGGTAATTCTCCAATAGTCTGCAATAGCTTGCGAGCAATTGCCGTAGGTGAGCTAATAATATCGCGTGTTTCTTTGTGTGTCCTTTCAGAGGGAGGAAAAATTCATGCGAATAAACTTGTGTATTCCGATTCCGCGATTAAAGAGAGAGAGAGAGAGAGAGAGAGAGAGCTGGTCTGCTGACCCAGTCGTAGCGATTAATTTCCAATTTCTGTCTCAGATGTAAAGCGCTCTCTATGAGAAATGGTTGTCGAAATTTATCTCCCAATGTTTCAATCACGCGATTATCGGCAGAGAAAAATAATTCTCACGCGCGATAGATCCGAGGACGCTGCGAGTCGCCGCGTCGCGACAAAATACGCCGATATAGCGCGTGTTGAGAAAGAACAAGGAAAAAAGGACGATGCGCTTTATCTCGGGAAAAGAAGCGCCAAGTTTCGTGGCAAGAAGGTTCAAGTTCCCCGGCGGACTTTGTCCGCTTACCTCGCGATTATGAAATCCCTCCGTCCGGCCGGTGGCTGTCCCGACTGCAACGGACGAAGCACGACCGGTCGATATTCGTCGATTGGCGGAAGCATGCGACGTGTCCGAAAGAAGCGACGCGTTTTGAAAGCGAGAGCGGTTCTTGTCGGCGAACCGTTTTTCTTACGCGCGAAAAATTCCTTCCCCGTTCGTTCCTTCTCGTGGTTTACCTGCTCCGGCTCCGGGGGGACGGCGGGGGGAGGGGGGAGGGGAGCAGAGTTCCTCGCTCTATGCACGATACCACCGCAGCGCGCGCGCGCGCGCGCGCGCTCTTCTCGCTCTCGCGCGGCGCGGGCCGCGTGTGACGTAAAGTTGACAACGAGCGAAAGTCTTGTACCATCCTGATTCGCTGTCGCTCGATCGGAGAAGGAACGCTAATTCTTGCGGTGGCTCTTTTTGCCCGCGGTTTCTGCCCGCCGTTCGTTCGTTCGTCTTACTCGACGAAGACACGCCACGTTCCCCGGCCGCGAGATGATGCATGTAACGTTACAAATAGCCGCGCGCTGTGAAACTTCCTCGAACTGCACGCCGCCGCTGTACGTGCCGAAACGCGCGCTCGAATTTTCAGGGGAAACGTCACTCGCGCGCCCCATGCTTGCGCATTTTCACGCATGCACTCCGGCACGGCAAATGTTCATACCGTTTCCGTTAGTCGGTATCGGGCTATTTGCAAACAGACTTTGTGCACTGCTCTCGCGGTGTGCGTCCCTTGAACGGTGAGCGGTGTCCTGCCAGTGAAACGCAGAAGCAGAAGCCAACCTGGGTTTTGCGTGTGTGAGAGAATGAAATACGGATGATTATGCCCGTCGAAGATCTCATCGAGACTCGTGGATATTTGTTTGCTGGGTTAGATTGCCGGTGTCGCTTCTCTTTCTCTCTCACGCACGTGTACGTGTGGCTGAAATCCTTCAACACGCTTCGCTCTTACGTTTAAATTGAAAGCCGCTCAACGTAGCGCAATTTTGCATTTTTACAAGCGCGCGTTAAATAGGCGAGTGCAGTACTTTAGATAACATGTGCCACGTATGTGAGGTTGATAGTGAACGTACCAGAGGAAAAAACGCGATCAGTCTTTTCAACGTACATCGTGTGCGTTCACGTCGTTGTTACGTGTTGTTACGTGTTACGCGATAAGATAGGTGCGTACAAGTGAACAACATCGTGACAATGTACGAAATCGTCGATGGTGCGCTCGCAGTAAATCGCCCAGGAACTACATGCTCTCGTTTGAATGTCCTAAACGAATTTATTTATCTTGACATGACTCGCGCGCGAAGGAGCCAGCGGAAGTCCGCATCGCGATTCCGCAATTCAGAATCTGTGATTCTTTTCCTTTAAGCATTAACGCCCCCAGGTGGGCTTGCGCAATTTTTCCGCCGGACATCTTCGTGCTTCTCCCAGTTTCCGATGACTTCGCAGATGACGAACTCCCCGCGTGAGGGTAGTTCGAGCCAGTGAAAAAAATTCGAAGCTCCGATCTTTCGATCGCGCAGACGCTGAGAAACGTCGCGCAGAGCGACACGAGCGAATTGTGCAGGCGGCTGAGCTGAATTCTCCTCTGTTGTTTCAAGCATCGAGCAAGCAAAATTATACCGGATTGCAAGGATTGCCAGCCGCTAAAGTTTCAGCTGAACAGTCCATATTTTAGCGTCAATGCCCAGCTGTCTAAGTAATACCAAATAAAAACGTCCAGATTATCAAATACTTCTCATCTATCGATATATTCCTCGGGAAAACCTCTTACAAGCTACATTTCCAGCTTTTTTAAGTTTGTTCGAACCTTTCACTTTTCAAGTCTGGCAACCGCATTTGCCAGTCAAACGCTAGCCGCCCTCCAACAGTTCGCTTCGTCGCAGTTTGCACGAGTCGATTTCGCTGAAGAGCAATCTTCCGTCCCGTAACCGTTCGCCTCTGCAGAACTCCCGGCGCGAGCCAGCGTGGGCAAGCAAGCAAGCAAGCAAGCAAGCAAGCAAGCAAGCCAGCAAGCAACTTCTGTCACAATCCGCATCTCCTCGCGCCTCTGTGCCGCATGCTGTCCGTTCGCCGCGGACTCCAGACTCGTGGGGCCGCGAGATCGCGGGTCTTCATCGCGGAATTTTCTGTTGTTGCAGTCCCTTCTTCGAGAGAATATTCTCGGAGCACCCGTGCAAGCACCCAGTGATCGTGCTGAAGGACTTCACCGGTCACGACGTGGCTGCTCTGATCGACTTCATGTACCGCGGCGAGGTGCGGGTCGGTCACGAGGAGCTGCCGGGACTGATCAGGGCCGCGGAGAGTCTGCAGGTACGGGGACTGTCGGAGCCTGTAGCGATACCGACGGATCCCATCCTGACATCGGTGGATCCCAGGATGACCTCGCCGCCGGAGACACCGAGTCTCTTGGGCGAGCCGCCGACGCCGGAGGGCGCTCGGCAGGACAGCCCTGAAGAGGACGACAACGCCTCGGAGAACATGCCGTTGCCGTCGGCGAAGGAGCTCGCGGCGGCGGCGGCGGCGGCGGCGGCCGCGGCGACGACGACGACGACGACGATACCTAACCCAACGTTCCATTCATCGAGGGACCATCATCGCGACGGTAGAATGCCGCTCAAGCTGAGCTTCCAAATACGCGAGACGCAATATCCGATACGCGAGATGTGCAGCTCACCGCTGCCGCGTCGGAAACAGGCGCGGCCGCGCCGGCGGTCCGGGGAACTGGTGCAGACGGTGCCGCAGGATCTCAGCAGGAACCACACGCTGGCCAATTCGAGCCTGTCGCCGAGTTGCCTTAACCTCAGCGCTAGTCAGCACCAGATTCAGCAAGAGCAGCAGCAGCAGCAGCAGCAGCAGCAGCAGCAGCCTCCCCTGGAGCCTCAGTTCCACCAGCAACAATCCTCCAGAGACGCGCAGAATCAACAACAGCAACAACACCGTCAGCACCAACAGCAGCAACAGCAGCAGCAGCAGCAGCACCAGCACCAGCAGCAGCAACACCAAGAAGACATCGCAGAGAATCTATCGATGAAGAGGTCCGCGTCGCCGAACGGGCTGGACCGGCACCGAAAGACCATGAAGACGGAGGGCAGCGAGACAGCGAGCAGTCCCCGCTGCTCGCCGCTCACCGGCTCGAATCTCTTGCACCCGGACGGGCCGATTCAAGACGTCTCCACCGCGGCAGCGGTGGTGGCAGCGGCCGCTTCGGTGGCAGGCCTGCCGCCGATGTCGACGCTGTCGCTGACGTCGCCGCACCATCACAACGAGTACCTGACTAGCCTGACGAGCCTCGGCCAACTGGCGGCTCAATGGCTACCCGGACATCCGCAGGGTCAGATACCGCACGCGCCACCGCCGCCGCAGAGTCACCTCGCGCGAGAGGGCAGCCCGCACGTGTCGGTGAGGAGTCACCCGTACCAGCAGCAGCAGCAACAGCAGCAGCAGCAACGCCAGGAGTCGCCGTTGCCGCCGCGGCGAAGTTCCGTCGCGGCGATATTCCCATCGCTGGACGGCGTGCCGGGCCTCGGCTCCGGCCTCTTCCCGCACGCCGGCAGCATCGACAGGAGCAGCGTACTCGCGGACATCCACGACTTCAAGCAGGAGGCGCTGCACGGCCTCTTCAGCGCCGGCGGCCTGGGCGCTCATCACTCGCCGCTCACTAACAAGAAGCCGAAGAAGTACCGGGGCAACGGCGACGCGCCGCGTCGATGGAGCGATCCGACCGCCCGAGGTTTGCCGATGGACAGGCCGAAGGGTCAGCACAGCGCGCCGCGAGGTGGGCCGCCCAGGTCTTGGACGAACGCCGAGCTGACCGAGGCGCTGCAGCAGGTCTGGAACAAGAAGATGACAACGTCGCAGGCCAGCCGGATTTTCGGCATACCGTACAACAGCCTGCTTATGTACGTGCGCGGCAAGTACGGCAAGAGCCTGAAGCTCGAACAACTGCGGAGGGACTGCACCGGCTCCGCCAGCAACTCCGACTACATGAACGCGGTCAACAACAACGTCAAGGCCGTCCAACAGACCGCGCAGCTCAGTCACAGCCTGACCGCGCTGCCACCGTCGCACCCGGCGGACGACGGCGGCCCTTTCCACCCGCATCACGCCTTGTTGGGCAACCTGTCGCAGGGTTTCTACACCGACTTCACCACCGGGCCTTTCCCGATGCCGGTCAACATGGTGCATCTGTTGACGCCGAGCGAGCAGAAGGGCTTCGAGTCGTCCGGGAACCCGGGCGTCGGCAGTGGAAGCGGCAGTGGCAGTGGCGGTGTTGGTAGCGGTGCTGGTGTTGGTGCTGGTGGCGGTGGTGGCAGTGCTGTTGGTGGTGGTGGTGGTGGTGGTGGTGGTGGTGGTGGTGGCGGCAGTTGTGGTAGTGGTGGAGGCGGCGGCGGCGGCGGCGGCGGCGGCAACGGCAGCAGCGGCAGCGGTAACAGCGGCGACATCGCGACCTCGCAGAGCAGCCGGACGCCGTCGCCGTTGCAGGACGACGAGCAGCAGCAGCAGCAGCAACAGCAGCAGCAGCATCATCATCATCATCATCATCATCATCATCACCACGAGTCGTCGCAATCGCAGTCGGCGCCCTCGTCGTTGCAGCACAACGGCTCCGACTAGGACTGGCCGGACGCGTTTCGGACCGGTACGTTCGTTTACGCGCGATCATTGCTCGCGTCATTCTCCTCGCCCGGATGATGGCGATGATGGACGTGCGCGGATGATGACGACGGGCCGATCAGCCGGAATGTACACTTGCGAGACGCGAGTACCGTACTCATGCACACACACGCACACGTACACGCGCATACGCGCGCATACACGACACACGCTCCGTACCCACCCCCTCCGGCCCCTCCCCAATCGTCGATCGTCGTCGAGTCAACACCCTCGTCGTGGCTACGCAGGTTGCACGAGTCGGAGAGTTAACACGCGCGCCTGCCCGATCCCCCCCGGTTCAGCCACTACTTCTTCATCCTTCCTTCACAAGACTGACTTTTACCAAGCGACTAACAGCTCCGCCGGAGCGCACCCTCGGCGGAGGACACTTTTGCGCCCGGCTCGGCGCGTCCGCGCCCGCGAACGCCACTGTGGCGGCCTGCGAGAGCGACGGTCTCCTCTCTCACATCGGGAAAGAACGATCGGACGCCGGCGTTTCACCGGCTGAATTCCTCGCGCGACGATACGCGCTCCTTCATTTCGTCATCAACAATTCCCCCTCAGCTTGGACCCGGAGAGACTCCGCGAGGGGCGCCAAGCTGCCTGAAAGCGGTTCCCACGTGGGAGAACGTGAGCGGCGAAACTGAAATTCGTTGGACGATTCGCTCGATCATGTTCGGCGAGGTTCTTCGCATCAGCACGTAAGAATATCTAGACGGAGCACTTTACTGTTCATTCAGGCGAGGGAGTGTGCTAGTTTACGGTGAGGGGACAGTTTACGGTATTTCGGGTCACTCGGCTCGACCCGCCAAAAGCACGACTTTGTACTTTGTGTACATCTTGCGACGCATCGACAACATACGATGTGCATCGACGTGGTAAATCCTTTAAAGATTCTGCTCCAGTTGCTTGCGAACGGTTCCAACGCGTCAATTGCTATAGATAACAAAAAATAATAACAAAGCCGAATATATCCGCAAAAGCCCAAAATACCGTAACTCTCCGCTAATTCAACCTTTCTCGCCAATCTCTCATAATCGAAATCCTCGATTGGTCGATTCGTTCACAGACTTCGGTCTCCTTGCTTGCGTTTCTTCGTGTACTCAGCTAGACGCGAACGAACATTTTCCTCCCCGTCTTCTTCTTCTTCTTCTTCTTCTTCTTCTTCTTCTTCTTCTGAAGAAGAAGAAGAAGAAGAAGAACAGGGAAGAAGGAGACGCGGATGGAGACGGTCCTCTTCACCAAATGACTTTGCCTTCTTTTTTACCTGTCGCTGAGAAACATCCGTATCGCCGACGGCACGTGCCGACCCCCGTGGACAACCCCTCTTCGCACCCCTTTGGTCTAGCGAGGCAAGTCCCTTCCTCAGTTATTCGAACTAGAGAAATATTCGCGCGAAGTCAAGATAAAAATTATTCGTTCCATCAAACTCTTACTTCTAATTTGCAGCCCTTAATACTCCAATACCAGCCTGACACGGGCTTTACCCCCTCTAGACAGAACAGCTCGAGCGTTTCTTGGACCTGCCTCGCTAGATCGCAATTGACCACTGAATCGCAAGATGAAGAGTCGTCCGCGGGTGCGTACGCGGGCAGCTCGCGCTCGCGTCGATCGCTCATCATCGTCGACCTGTTCGTCCTGTTTCCGCCATCTGCGTTTCGTTACGGCCACAGCGCAGTTTCGCGAATCCTCCCGTCGGCCCGGTTGGGCCGAACATGCTCGCGAGATTCGGAGGCCGGATCTCCTCGTTCGGGAGTTGCGCGCCCGACCGTCTCTCGTTCGTCGACGGTGCTTTCCAGGACGTCTGCCGCACGGTAGAATCGCAGGATCCTAACGCGACCACTCGGCGCCGACGCGGCGACTGTCCGAGGGTTGTCTTGCGCGCGCGATCGAGTCTCCGCGGTATGCGAAATCCTCGAGTGCGTGTTCCACCCGCGAGCCGTGACGTCGTCCGCGAGACATCCGGCCGGTACCGAGCCTTCCTGCTCGCCGTTCGCGTGGCCGTTCACGTGCGCGTTCCTCCTCCGTCGGGGCGCGGAAATCGCGGCGAAGTCGCGGAGATTGTCGGATTCTCCCGCGCGAAACGGCACGACGGCGAGCACCCGCCGCCGGCGCGGCGCCGGGAAAGCGCCGATACCGAAGTCATTCACAGACGCTGAAATAGTTCCTGCCGCAAGAGAGCGACTCGTACACCAAGTAGTGCTGCGAATTACCGGAAGCAAAACTGTGCGGCCAGCAGCCGTGTTCCGGACGCGTGGCGAACGGCAGATACGCCTCTCTGACTCTCAGAGCTGCAGAAGGAGGGTCACGCTCGTCCAGGAAAATCGGCATCTTGGAATTAGGGAGGCATATTTAGCGATGGCCTGCGACTCGTCCGGAATACAGCATCGGTGGTCTCATCCTGATCGCATGTGCGACAGTTAAGTCCGCCCTTCCAGTTCCTCGTGTGAGGGGGGGGGGGGAGGGTAAGAAACTTGCGCTTGGAGACAAAGGATTGGTGGAGTGAGCGTGACAATGACCGCAACGAACGCGACGAAGAGGGGAATTTCCGACTCTTCCGAGCGAATTTCCTGCACAGGAACCAAGTTGGTTGTTGCGTCAACTCGACTGGTCTTCTTTCTCGGCGTCGAGTCGAAGGGGCACACTTCACCGTCGCAGACGCGCCCAGCGTCCAGAAGAGAGCTCCAGTGTTGTGATACGGCGGGCTCGACGTCTCCGGCGAACCTGCCATGTCGGACGTCGCGGACGAAGGGTCCAGCACGACGCGAGACTTTCGTGTGCTCTCTGACCCTCGCAGCGACGTGCACTCGGTTTCAGTGTGAGCAGTTTTTGGGTCGCGATGAGAGAACTGTTTCTGAAAAATTGCCAGGAGCCCAGTTCTCTCATTGGACAGTCACGAGCCGCCTCCACAAGAAGTCTAAGCCGTTTTGAGGCTCACTCGAAGCTGCAGAAGTCCGGAAAAATTCAAAATCTCGGAATTTCAAAGCCTCGGAATCCTTTGCGAGTTGTGTCGAGAGAAAATATTCAACCTGTGCTGAGAACAAGTCTAAACGAGCTTTGACTCAGAAACCAGTTCTCCTATTGGACGTCCAATGCTGCTTCTTGAACCACATCGGGAGAAAAGCGTCCAAACCTCGTCGAAGCCGTATGTGCACTCGGTTTTAACACGGCTTGAACGCTTTCCCGCCGATGCAGCTCGAAATGCAGCCGCGGTCTCCAAAGAGCGGACTTGATTTCTCGGAATTTTACAACAATAAGTCACCTCACGAGACATCCGGCTGCTTCGCAAGCTGCACCCGCAGAGGAGAGCGTTCCGACTGCACTGGAACCGAGTATAAAGAGCGTGTCGGTCAGCGTGCAGCTCAGAAGGCGCTCTAAAATCATGCGTCCTCTGACGACAGCCTGACGACCGTATTCACGACAGATAACGAGTCTGACACAAGGTGAAACAAAAGTTTTCTTTTCACTTCTCTTCCTTTAATGGCGATAGATCCGGTGAGATTAATACACGGCGGTCCGCGCGGAGAGCTCGTTTCTGAGCGCCGCCTTTGCCACGAGAGAGAGAGAGAGAGAGAGAGAGAGAGAGAGAGAGAGAGAGAG